TTTCGTAAGCATGCATTTAAGTACTGAGTCCAAGACCGAAAGTCAACTTACATGCCAACCACTTGCATGCAGTCCCAGACGCAGGTGACTGCTGAATCACTGCTGTAGATTTTGGCTGTAAGGCAGGACTCGAAGCGAGATTTCGCATCTCCTGGACCGTTGTCCAAGCTGTCGAGTGCTTTCCATACGAGCATTCGGGAAGTATCGATCTTTATTTTCGCACCGATGAGCAGGTCTGCAGGACTCTGTCTTTGGATAATGGGCATGGATCCGCCGCGATGGTCGTTCTTTGCGAATTGGAGTGCCTTTTCGAAAGCGGCGCGCATGGTACCGACTGCCATGGCCCCAACAAGAGCTCCGGAGATGCCAAAGGCTTGTTCGATGTATGGTCCGGCCTTGCCGGGGGCAAAAAGAACGTGATCAGCTGGCACTTTGAAGTTGGTGTATCGGGTGTGAGGACCAGTGACAGCAATGTGCCCGAAGAGCTCAGGTTCGCTGAGGAGTTGAAATGCCTCTGGGGTGTTTTGAGCCACAATCTCTCGAGTCACCATAAGTACCATCAAATTGTCTGCAGGGTTGACGCCGGACTTCTCTGAGAGGCTGTCCTCAGAATACCGTGCGCACAGGCACGTAAGTTCTGCTCCTTTGCCGTCCCAGCCGGCACTATTTGTGGTCCATAGCTATTGCAAAATTAGACTTAGCTCGACCGAACTATACAGATGTCTTACCTTTTCGCCATTGACAATGTAAAAATCGCCCTCTTTCCTAGCAGTTACCCCAAGACCCTTCCCTCCTTGTTCAAGGTGATTCGCAGTTCCACCTGGTTCGGAATGAGCCAGACTTGCCAGGGGATCACCTTCACCGGAGAGGAAAGGCTTCAAGAACCTCTCCTGCTGCTCGGATGTGCCGCCAAGAACCAGAGGTAACAATCCCAAAGCACTGCCGACTAGGTGGATCACAATGCTGGACTCGACTGCATAAAGCTCCTCCAGAAGGAAGGCAGTCTCCAAGAGGGTATCTGCGTCACCGCCTGCGGCCTTGGGGATAAAGGCCTTGAGTAATCCCTCTTTTATTAACTTGCCGTAGTAGGGCCGAGTTGCTCGGAACCGCGTGAGTTGGTCAGAGTGCTTAGAGTAGTCTGCATAGGCGTGTGTCAGGACTTCTTTTGCAACCTTGGCTCCTTTGGCGCGCAAAGCCTTTTGGTCTTCGGTTAGATTGAATTGGACCATTTTAAGCGTAAATCGATCCTACGACTTGGTCAGCTTCTTATCACTCTCGAAATAAGAACGGAGAGCTACTTGCAGTAATCAATAGACAAGGTATTGTTTCCTGGAGTTTGACTTCCGGTAGTGATGATGCGTTGGAGTAAATATCTCCCTTAGACTTTGAGGCAGCTGGCTCTTATATATCGTAAACATTTCTCCTCACAGATCCTGCACTGATTAGGCCTATCGAAGACAGAAGAACGCTCGAGCTGATGCTTCCCATCTAGAACACCAAAACTCCAACAAGTGCCATCTTTCGAGGCATCCCTATCTTCAGCTCTCCATCGCCGATCAATCGGACTAACCAACATTCTCACTTCCGCGGAAGTGCCAAATTTCAGCAGGGTTGTTCTATCGTTTTACTGACGTTGGAATTGGCCTCCTAGAGACGTGTATCGCGGTTGGGCATTACCCGCTCGGTGAGTCTGAGGTGTGGCTTTTGCGGCTAAGCATTACCCGGTAATGCCAACCACTCGGAGCGGCAACGCTTATCCACACGGCGTATCTAAGTTGATTTTCCCCGCATTCTGTTGATATTGAATCTACCGGAATTCACGGGATTGATCTATATCAGATAAACCTCGTCATCACAGCCCCTATCATTGGCCGTGGCGTTAGGAGCAAAGGACACGGTAGTATGGTCACATGGTGGGAATTGGCGTGGATTGGTCCCGTCGATCTCTACATGACGGCTTCAGAATGACTTACACCTAGAAGCTAATTACATAGCCAACACCACATCGAGACAACGACCTGTGAATTCGCTAGGGAGGTGCAGCATGACAGAACTGCCTGCTCAGCTACTATTGAACATCAGCGGGGTGCTGGGCTAGTTCCAGTATTACCGCATGACAAGAAGGGTTCATATGCACAAAGTAAAAAAAATTGGCCGTCCCAATTCATGAGGTAAATAGTAGGTTGGGGTAATTATCAATAGCTCGAGATACTCCCATGATTCTAGGGACCGGCAATGCAGTATTAAAGGAGGCAGAAATGCACGTTGCACTGATGATGATTGTGATTTTGATCCGGATGATTTAGACGATCTGATTCCAATGAGTGGATGAGGTAGTCTCGTATGCCATCACCTTTGCAATTGAGACTCGCAGTTTTTGGAAATGGAAGGAGAACCTCAAGATCCTCCACTGTAATACTAGGGATGCTGACTGTAAGACAACATGCACAAAATGAGGCTCAATTACTCACTCAGCAAGGGCCGTCCTTGACGCTAGGACCACTGTAGTTCTGGCAAGGGGTTTTGGCATCGGTGCAGACGTTTACTAGAGTGGCCTTGTCACCATTGGCCTTGGTGATTCCAGCAACCTCACCTCCATTACGGGCAGTCACGCCCTCAATGTAAACTTCACGGGCGCACTTCTCGCACTATTATCATGCGGTGAGCTTTTTGCTAAACTCTTACGAGGCGGGAGGAGGGATGGCTCACTGTTCCGCAAGAGCGATAGACTTTGCCGTAATCATTTGCATAGAAGTTGATGATCTTTTCTGAAAATTAGTCAACGGCGGATGTGCATGGGTACGTGGCAACTCACGTTCACACGACCACACCCATTATGCTGGATGATCTTGTCGGCTGCATGGTAGGCTCCTCCTCCAACAATCCAGGTAACGTCACCAGCTTTGTCATTCTTCTGAAGGATTTATGTGGCTTAGAAGTTCAGAACGTTCAAAGGCTTAAGGTAGAAGACTCACGATAGAGATGGCGTCCTCGCAAACATCTTCGAACCAGACAAATTCGATGTTGCACCCCCCTCCCAAGCAGTACACGCCCTCCCCGGCCGTCTTTCCAATGATGACATTTCGCAGAGTGGCACCCTTCTGCAAAACGAAGGCCGTGTCTTTCTCACCTAAGGTTGGTACACAATTGTAAGTACGATTACGGATGCTACAACGTAAGGCAGGAAGTCTGAGTTAAAAGGAGGATTTTCTCAACCATACCTCCTTCCACCTGCTCTCTGCATGAGGTGGGGCTTCTATCATACTTGGCCCAACCGCCGTCAAACACCTCGCCAGACTTGACATAGATGGGAGCAGAAATTTGTTTGTTGGAAGTGGGCTTGGGCAAACCACCCTCATAACCCAAGCATGCCAAAGTCATGGGAAGGGCCCCGAGCAAGGCGCCGGTGAGGACTCCGATCTTGCTGAGCATTGCTCTAAGTAATGTTGAATGAAGCTAACGAGAAAATCTCGAAGATATAGGAATCCTGGATTGGGATGTAGCACTCTCGTCCCCATGATGATTGCGGCAGGGACATTTTATAAAGAATTTCGGTACAGAAAACGTTTAGTCTCGACGCCTAGCAAGGGAGCTTCATGAGGGGGCCCGCATCGAGCAATGTGGCGTGCCTCAGGTAAGAATGATCCACACGTGTTGTATGAATGCTTGGTTCATTAATATACAATGACTTTGAGTCGCGGAAAATCTTCATGGCTGACAGAGTTCTTGGATGATCTCCAGAGCTTCCTTTTTCGAAGCCTTGGGACACGAAATTCACCGTAGTTGGCGCAGAAATTGGGTCCGAACTGAAAACAACTCTTTCCCTTGGCTTTCTGACACTGGGTGCTCACTGATAGTCCCACCAATTGAAGGAGACGAACTATGAGACAGCATGATAGACACGCCCGCTCGATGGTCTACGACCCGCGTTTGCTTCCATTCTGGGATCTAATACGGCCAATTCATGGAATCAAAGTAGCTAGAAGTGGCTATGGCACATAGTATTTAATCAATGTTTAGAGAAAATACTTTAACTGGAAGCGGCTTCACGAATTTGATGTCGAGCATGCAAATTCCCGAGTGAAGATGGGAAAATACAACACTCATTCACCTCTAATCTGGCTGAGGTGGCAGTTCTTTGAGTCAGCCAAATACTCTACACGAGGATGATGATGGAGCTTTGCGTACTCTGCACTCAAATTTCGGCTCACAAACACGAACCGTAATGTGGTATTCCCATTGAGTCTATCGAACTGTGATACAAGTCGTCTACTAGGTTCACGAGTAGAATTATGGCTGGAGATGTCGCGCAGACACCAGGAGCGCACCCTATAGTTAAGAAAGACCAACCGCGTGACAAGTATTCGGATTAAAAACTAGCTGAAATGCCTGAAATTGAGAATGCCAATTGCTTGGCTTGACTTTGAAAGGTAGCCAAGGCGGATTAGATGACAGGGGTGAAGCCGAATTCCGCCTTGGGGTAGCAACACTGTCGAGGGTCTGGAGAGGTAAATTCCTTCAGCATTACGAAGAAATAGATCATATGCCGTTCCGTCCGCGATGGGAAAACCATGGCATCTTGGCTGCATCGCAACGTGGAAACCTGAAATGTCCAGGGTCAAGGCGGATTGAGCGACACTCATCACCTAGATGGTTACCACAAGAAAAGAAGGTGAATTACTATTGTCACTGGGAGACTCGAAATCAACTGACTAGGGAGATATCGATACTTGAACTAATTGAAACTGATCTAGATACTTCGCGTTCATACCTTAAGACAAGACGACTTCATACTGGAAGGTGACATGTCTGTAAGATCTGCCTTTAGAAGATCTTCGATTGCCAATGTCGAAGTGAATCTCATCGTGCCCTTTTTAGACTCTTGACATGATATAGGTGCACCACAACGGATTGTATATGTGTCGGAAAGACTTGTTTCCTGAGTATTGTCAGCCTAGCGCCATATACACCGTCGGAGAAGATCGTTCTACTTACCTCGATCACCTGGAGTTTGGCTCGCCGCTTTGACTTTCGATTGCCTTCTCTGAGCCCTTAATCTTCGGCATTGGAGCTTTTGCAGACGTTGGTGCCTCCCACTCGTCTCCGATGAGCCACATACTATAGGCCTCCCAATACTGGAGGACATAAAGGCAAGGATAGAAGGCGATATCCAAGATGTCGACCACATTTGCGGTTTTGCTGCAAGCAAAAGGACCACAGACGGGTTCGACGCAAGCTCTGAAGAGAAAGCCAGGGATAATAGCAGCAATTGCCAGACAAAGGACCACAATGCTGTAGGCCAGTATCGGCGGCGTTAGGACGAGAAGTCCAAAGAATATCAGGCAACAGGCGGCGGCGAACTCAGAAATTGAGAGCTTATTGTTTTCTGGTCGAGATTCCTGATCATTTAAGACAGTCGCATGAGCAACAAATGCAATCCACAAGACCGAGGTCAGTATTGCAAAGCTTCCGATGGCAATGAAGGCTATTTCTCTAGAAGTATACATGGCGACTACCTCTTTCTGAGCGGTGTTGAAGTACAGCTGAACTTAAGTCTTCTTGGTCTGATGAAATTTGAGTGCGAGCACCGCAAAAATGGCCTTACGCTTCTAGAGTGATTCGAGGCAATGCCGTGGAAGAGTTTCAAGTGAATAGATATCGAGGTCAAAGCCAGTTGAATAGAATCTAGACATGTATAAGTTTAGATTAATGTGTCTCCGTTGAATGCATCTGTTTTCGGGTACGTATGTCCGGTACCTTGATCGACAAGCACAAGCCTGACGTCTGAGCTTCAAAATAAGGTATGTTCACTAGGCCACCTTGATAGCCTCCTTTCCAGGCGGTCAAAAGCACTGGGAGACCTCAGTTGACAATAGTTACCTTAGGCTGAGTCCCATGACGTTGCAAATCTCCTACATAAACTGAAGAGTAGGATACAGAGAAATGAGACTTGCTCTTCCGCGAGAAAATTCGATCAAATGACATGTCTCAAAGGTGAGAAACACGCGTTTTGACATCAAACAATCGAATTTTCAATGCACATTCACCAGCCTATCCAAATGACTCAACCAAACAACTTAAACAAGTCTAGTGACTCGGCAAACGTTGCCCCTTGGCTTGGAAGAGCTGGAGCCTTGATATTCAGGGTAAACATCAACGTTGCAATAACAACACGGCATTGCGAGCCATTGGATATGGAGTCGCACTCGAAAGGCCGAGCACGCACCCCGTTGGGCCATCGGGCATTACAATCTTTTGGCCAGAAGCGCAGTGACTCGAAAGCATCAAGTATAGGTTGTAGAAGCTTACATCCAGTAACCATCTTTCCAGAGTTCCTTGCTATATCCCTCGGTCAATCGTTCGTCCTCGCCGTACTTTTCCTGCCAGCCGACGAATCCGCGATCGAGAACGTATACTGTCTGGGGCTCCGCAGATGCCGAGTCTCCCGCCGAGTCAGTAGCAGTAGTATTAGAGGCGAGATTCTGATCACGCTCTCGGAGATATCGAAGGGCAGCACTGGGTCCGCGTTGCTGCGACAGAGCGCAGTGGAATACGACCGTCTTCTTGCCTTCGAGGCGGCGCATGAGGGTGGGCATTGTGGCATCGAGACTTCTGGAGGGCATGTTTATACAGCCTTTTATATGACCGCCGAGGTAGTCTACGAAAATAATACAGGTTAGCAGTGTAACCAAGCGGTTAAATCAGTTGAGGTCAAGGAAAAGGCTAACCATCCTCGCGAACGTCCACGACGGCCACAGACGAAGTGCCTGCAGCCTGTTCTGCCAAGAGTAGCGCGGAGAGTTTGGCAGCACTGATGCGCTGGAGAGTTCCAATCGTCGCCATTGTTCGTGGTCGGCGAAGAAACCTCGAGAAAATGGAAAGGCGTCTTCCGGCGAGGCGCGAGAAATAGCAGAGTGACGTCGGAACTTTCTTGAAGTTAATCGCGACAGCTTTGAGTTTTGGTGGGGAGCTTCGATGCGCGCGCGGGGCAAGTATCCGTAAGGTCAGTATCCCTGTAGGTTGTTGCGCAGCTATGGTGGGGTTCCTTAAGCCGGCCAATCCATTGTGATTACATAATGTTCGTTCTTGCTGCTCCTTGCGCATGGCGTTCCATCAATTTCAAGCTCAACTTCTACTGAAAACGTAGGGTACTTCGACATTGGCCACGCTTGCGACGTTAATGGAGATTAGGACATCCTGCTTCATTGAAAACGCCCAATCAACCTCAAGTCAGTCGCTTCAGTGCTCAAACCCATACCGAGGTCCAGAGCCCAGGCCAGCAGCTTTTCTACAATGATATGTGACGCATCTTCGGTCTCTCGGACAGTTTAGCAAGACGACTTCTCTCAACACCTGATAACATCGACGATTTATACAATGCCATGATACTTAGCGATATGTTAGCCAGATATGGCTTTCGACAAGCAAAACAAGGACTGCGTAGTAAGTGGGCAGGCTTTACCTCTTAAGGCGATGATCTGCCGTGTGGTCCACCGGCTTTCTCCTCGTGCTGGCCCATCTTGCTCGGTTTCGGATCTCTCAATGATTGATACAGAGCATCTGAGAACCAATTGTTCCAACGAAAGATTGCAGATGCCCCAAATGAGGGATGAAATGCATGGTACGACGATCAACCAAGTTGTTGCCCGGGACTTGGTTCCCCGGCCCACCTGCCATCTCGGCCTCGGCGCTTGTTTGGAACGCCGCCTCCGATCCAGAATCATTATGGACTAAGCGACGCCCCGAAATTCTAGGCCAGAAACGTTCTTCTGTGCTACAAGCCAAGTGAGAATTCAGACACGAAAGCATTTGAACCTGAGTTTACAAGGCTATCATCATAATATTTTCTTTCCTGTGCCGGTACGTAACGTTCTGCTACGGCAATCCTCTGCTGGGTCGACCTCTTCACGTCTTGTTTTCACGCTGCATGCCAAGGTTTATCGCAGTCAAAATCATGGCGGAATAAACTTAAATACAGTTTACAAGTAATGTTACTCAGATGAAGTCGGAAAATGGCTGCATTCGATATAATTCTAGAACTAACTCGGAGCGGGCGCCCCCCATTAAACGGCATCTTTCCAAATAGACCTCGCCACATCTCTGACAAGGACAAGCTTTTTCCACATTCTGTCCTCAGTAGTTACGCCTTGGTTGATACTGAAGCTAGCAAAGCCGCACTGAGGGCTCACAGCGAGTGAGTCTGCTAGAACTTCCGAGACGTCCCGTCTTTGCGCCTTTGCCATGACTTCAGCAGCCTCATAAACCCTCTTGATCAATGCCTCCTTGTTCTCAAGGTCTGCAACCTTTGTCGACACGAGGCCAAGAACTACATTCTTCCCTTGTGGAACAAATCTCAACGGATCAAAGTGTCCAGACACTCGAGGATCATCAAACTCTAGGTAGAACGTGTGGTAGTTGAGTTTGGGGAAAACCTTGGCGGCAATCCTTTCGTAAGATCCTTTGGCGAAAGAAGGCTGGCCAGGCATGTTGCCGCGACAAAGATGTATGCCCACATGCAAGTCAGGTGGTAAATCCCTCAAGACCTGGTTGTGTGCCCAAATGTAGAGGTCCAACAGGGCCTCAGGGTCGATGCCATCACCCCTCAGACCCTCCCTGAAGCCCTTTGTGACGAAGAAAGTCAAATTTGGATCGTCAACCTGTATAGATCTGAGACCTGCATCATAAAGAGCTTGAATCTCTGAACGAAATGCTGCCGCGAGGTCGAGGAAATAGTCCTTGTCAGAAGCGTAAACGCCAAGGGCAAACGCTGTGCCGTTTGCAAGGTACATGTGTTGCCAGGAGATGGACGGTATGGACATCTTACAGTCCTTCCAGCGTTCTTGAGGGACTGCCTTCTTGATCATCTCCCAGGCAGGAAGGTAAGCCGAATCTGTGAACATGATCTTTCCCGTGGCGGGCACAGCGGAGAAGTGATTGTATCCCATCTTAGCAAGTCCGATAAAGGTAGGCAGGTTGGGTCGGAAGTCTTGGGGAATCCTGAGATCGTCTCTGACTGTCATTCCCTGAAGATTCTCAAACAAGCCGCTGAAGAAGATGGTTCTTTCATATTCGCCAGAGGTGATGGGCCTGACTCCGAGCTTCAGCTGCTCCTGAACGGCGTACTTGATTGAAGCAGATGTGGCAGCAGCCTGGTCTTCAGATAACTTGCTGTCATAGAAGCCCAGGGAACCCCTCTCCTCAAGCAGGAAGGCGGGCCGAATGAGTGAGCCGATCTGGTCAGCTCGGAAGAGGGGAGTCATGTTAACAGTGTCGATGATATTGAGGTCAAGATTTTCAGCCTTGAATCTCTGCCAATCTGCTGGACCGAACACATCTTAAATACGTTTCTTGTATACCCCAGACCATGTCACCTCTTGAGGGCTACAGTCCACACTGTGGAGAAGGGTGATATTCTTCTGGGCATGTGGGCACGGGTGATCCATTTCGACAAGGAAGAAAGGGCCGCTGAAGAAGATAAGCAAGTTTTCTACCTTGGTACTCTTTCGACCATTGGCCCAATGATCCAGGCAGGAAACAACCACGGATGAGGCAATATTGCCGGGGAGCATTCCTGTTCTGATGACTGAGTAGCAAACATGTTTGCTTAATGACATGCGTATTGAACCAACGGCAGTTAATGCGCGGAACAACCCTGCCGAAGTGCTTCATCTTTCCCAAAGAGGAATCTCACCTGTCAGATTTGTGTTGGTCTACTTTGGCAGCATTATATTGGAAGTCTTACTATTAATCCTACTCGGCGCTAGGAAGAATTCTTTCTGGTTATATCTTTCGTCTCACTCTACCAAAGTCCCATTTGATCCTCTAGATCTGACATCCTCCATAGTCATTCAAGGGTGCGACTGAGATTGGTTGAGATTAGGCTTGAGTACGAAAGTCTGCATTCAGGCACCACGCTGCAGAGCGGCCCATAATATGCAAGACTCAATCTCTCGCCTAACCCCGTTTATACATGTTCGAAGCACATTAGGTAGACTACCATCCTCCACAGAATGAAGAAACAAAATGCTTGCTCGGCGAGGCCTAGATTTTGAACAGACAGTTGGCTTCACGCTTCTTGTCTAGAGTCTAGATCAAAAAGGGCGGAATTCGAAACTGATGTTAGTCATCTAGCCAAAGGGAAAATAGAAGAAAGGAGCACTGCAACTTGAACGAACCTAATAGAAGCTTAGTTTCAAACAAGAGTTTGAATATTCTAAGCAGCAAAAGGTCTTCGGTCTCATACCTTACGAGATCGTTGTATCTACGTCTGTTTGATTAGTCAATCGTGAATCTGATCCGCTCAAAGTATTGCATGCTGATTATCGGATTTCTCGCGTGATCTTCAGAGGCCAAAGGTATTATTCGTATCCAAGGGTCTTGAGGTATATAATATTACTGTGAAATAAAGAAAAACTTCATGCATTTATTGATCAAGTATCTCGTGTACGTTGCTGGAGAAGGTTATCGCACTATTTGCCTACCCAGGCAGTTTTTCCCACTTCATGCCTACAACCCCGATGATGGAGATGACCGCGACAGCCATCGGCACAGTAAAAGTCTCTTTGAGAGCTTTGTTGTATGCTTCAATGACAATCGGGAGTAGATCCTTCGAAATCATATCTTTGAGATTCGTGGCCCCCATATCCGCAATAGTTTGTCCATCAAGTCCTCCTGTACCATGCAGATGCTTTGTTAAGCCATTAGCAAAGACGGTGTTCGCAACAGACATCAAGATAGCCGGCCCAAGGTTCTGGAACAAAGTGACGGCGGCAGTACCAGCAGGTATATCAGGAAGCGCGAGGGTTGATTGGACACCCATCATCGGCTGCTGGGATCCCAGCCCAATGCCCACACCGGCGATGACGGGGAAAGTGACCCATTTACTTGGGCCAGTATCGAGCTCGAAAGTCGTCATCAAGCCAAGACCGATTGACCCCAACACGGTCGCTACGAGCATGAAAGGGTTGTACCACCCTGTGTAAGTGACCAGGTAGCCGGCGGTTAGAGCGGCGAGAACTTCTCCGCCAACATAGGGAACGAGCTTGATCCCGGATTCTCTGGCAGACTCTCCCTTGATAGCCTGGAACCAAATTGGCAGCCATATATCGGCTGTGTAGTAGGCTGCATCGATACATGCAGCGTAGAAACAAGCGAATGCGATATTCCGCATTTTCATGAGACGAGGAGGCAATGCGGCGTTGTCTCCTTTCCAGATTTCAACACCAATAAAACTGATGAGCAGAATACCAAAGGCAACCAACAATCCAATCATCGGAGCGCTGTTCCAAGCGAACTGGGATCCACCCCACTGCAAGGCTAATAATAGGCAGATCATGCAAGCAAAGAATATTGAGAGCCCGAGAATGTCAAACTCCATGAGCTTCTGCTTGAGAGTCCGGGGTTGTCCTTGGTCGGGTTGCTGCGGTGGTCGAAAGCAGAAGAAGATCAATGCCAACGTCGCAACTCCGATGGGTATGCTGACGTAGAACGCCCATCGCCAGGAGAGATGGCTGTCCGTCAACGCCCCCGAAATGAGGGGCCCGATGATGCCGCCGACACCTGAGAATGCGCCAAGAAATCCAGTGTAGACAGCACGTTGACGAATGGGTACACTGTGTGCGAGAACCACCCAGGCGCCGATAATGATGCCACTGCAACCAATCCCAGTGATGGCTCGTCCGACAATGAAAGCAATCGAGTTGGGGGCGCTTCCGCAGACAGCCAGCCCGATTTCTCTAAATGCGATGGCCACCATAAAGGTCCACTTGAGAGAAAAGAGTTCAAAGCATTTTCCGTAGACCAGTTGGAATGAGCAAAGCTTAATAGTATTTGTTAGTGAGAAT